CGAGGAGATCAATCAGTTATTGCTGGCACACTTTTTTGAGGGGTCTCACTTATGGTGTATCGTGGCGCCATTATTGCATTACGTGATTGTGAGTGGCACGTCACTGATAGAGTGATGTGACAGTTTGTTTTGCACTAGTCGATTCCTACGCAAATGGTTGATATGGACGAGCTCCGTAGAATTGATACAAGTGAGAAAAATAACGAAAATTGGCCGGTGAAACACACTTACTACATCAAGCTATGGAATCAGTGTGAACTATCGCTCCCCCCCGCGTCCCGACATTACATCGATGGACCTAGATTTTGACTATTCTCCTTATCTCCGAAATTATGAAGCAAATGGGAAACCATATCTGACGATGCCAGAAGAGAGTGAAGAATGGGAAAATCATCAGGCCATATGTGCCAAGTCCAAGTCCAAGAAGAAAGCATCATCGTTGTCTTCTTCCATTTCAGCATTTGCCATTGAAGAGTATTATCATGCATCTTAGGCCAGTTTCAATTTCTATCCTCCATATCATACTTCAACCGAGACTCGATCGACTTGGATTAGAGGTTCATGGGATACACCACAATACACTCAAGCATCTTCGACAGAACATGTGATTGCGGGTGAGTGGGATCATATCCCATATGGTCATTAAAGTAGCAACCATATTGAATCAGTTACGACGATGATGGCGTCAAGTACCATACGTCCATCACCGTATTCGAAGGTGGATCCCAAAGTGTGTTAAGTATACTCATTGACAAGATGAAGATGACGACAACGATCAAGGCCTATGACCTCGACGTATCGACGAGTCCCGCGCCATTATCATTCGACAACTCCTTGTCATCATCAAGAACTTAGAAAATATAGATAAATTTTCTAAGTAATTTTTCTATAAACAATTATTTTATCAATTATTTGCTTACTTTGAATTTTTAAAATATAAATAAATTTATTTTTCTTTAATTTTAATTTTTTAAATTTTACCTGACCGAACTCGTCATTTTGAGGTGACGAGTTCCAAAGTGACTGTTGCTATATGCTTGTTGACCAACGGCTAGTTTTTTTTTTTTGAATTTGAAAGAACTTTAGGTGACGAGTTCCATCTACTTTTTTTTTATGAAAAATTTATAAATTTTAGTTTTATTTTGTAATTTTTTTAATGAACTCGTCACTTCGACGTGACGAGTTATATTAATGATAATAAAATAATAGCCCATATAGGGCCCACTAAATACCCTAAATAATTGACCTACTTAGGGTATGGGAAAAAAATCCCAAATAATATTTTCGACCTAAAAATATTTTAATAAGAATGGAATATTTAGACCCAAAAGGTTAGAAATGGATTTGAGATGAAAATTATTCGGCCTATTAGTATAAGAGAATACTTTCTTAAAGTCCGACGAAACGAATGCTTCATGATTTAATTCGAAATCAATAGATTTAGATTTGACTTAATTTAATAGAGTATATTTTTTAAAAAAAAATTGAGTTGATCAGATCTGGTAGAATTCAGACGGATAGTGAAAAACCTCCAATTCGACCAACTCGAGAAAAATAGTTTAACTCGAGAAAAATAATTTTATATCAACTCAGTTTGGGTTAGGTCAGATTCATATTTTAAAAATATGGGTTGGATCGAGAGATCGGATAGAGATTAATTTTCTTGGGTTGGATCTGATTATGTGATAATATATATTTTTAAGACCAAATTAAGACAGATTGATAAAAAAAAATTCAATCTAACCCACAACTGCATCTCAACCTCCCTCCAACTTGTTTGTTTCCAGGGAAAATAGTGAGAGGAGAGACAATGACATCAAGAGCTGCAACACCGCCTTACCCGAGTGCGGCCAGGATCGCCGATTCCCCATGCTTCCCACAATACACGGCCTCTCTTAAATGTAAGCTGATTCCCTTAAATCTTGGACTCCATTAAAAAAAAGATCTCAATTTCCCCTGATCATCAAATAATAAGTTATTGATTTTATAATATTGTAATATTTTATTTTAATTTAAATATTTTTATAATCATATATACAATATAATATATTTTATATTTTTTATACATGATATACATATATCATATAAAATTGAAGGACTCGACTCAAGCTTGAAAATCAATCTACTAATTACTAAAAATTTCTAGCTATTCAAGTTGTAAAACTTGAAATTTTTTCGAGTCGAGTCAAGTTTAAATTTACAATTTGAAGTTAATTCGAATCGAATTGAATAAAAAAAATTGATTTTTCGAGTATATTTACTTACCCTAAGTAGCAGTAGCAATTCAACAACGACTAAAAGCCCCGGATCAAATTATCTTCGCCTTTTGAATGTATAAGGGAGTTGGTGATCCCATACCATTTTTCACTAAAAAACAGGCATTAAAGTAGAACTTCCCTTTGGCTGGCGAGGATTGGAGTGAGGCTTTCTTCTTAGTTTAGGATGATTGGGAAGACTGGGTGCCGATCACCGCTTTCCTGCGGTATCCTAAGACTAACCGCTTTAGAGCAGGAACAACAAGAGCTGCAATCCTCGCTTTCTCAGAAGCAAGAAAAGAAGGAATTCATATTCTTAGCTAGAAGAGCAAGCAGCCTTCCACATACTGAGCTATCTTTCAAGCGTGAACTCGAAGGCCAGAGTAGTAACGGAGTTTCTAGAAAAAAAGATCTAGTTGAAGTTTGAGTTGCAGAGTCATTTGTGGAGAACTAAGGAAAGAAAGTGAGAGAGAGTTCTTTGAGAATAGCAGATTACCAACCCTTTTTCCATCTCTCTTTGCAGTGCATTTGCTTCCTTCTCCTGATAAGTACATGTAAGATTTTAGTCCATAGCAATGGTTGTATATGAGTCCTAGTACATAGGCCTCAAGTAGGAATTTAACCTATGACCTTACCACCGACCAATCTACCACTGGCTTTTGGATTGAAACATGAATATCAGTGGCACCTTCCTATGGTTTACGTGATAATCTTGGTGACGCCGGACAGGATAGCGATTATCTTGTAGGCTGGTTTCAACAGATGATTCACAAGAGAAAATTCACCCAAAACTAGAGAAAACAAGTCTCTAGGGTTTAACATAATATTAAAATCAAACAATGTGAAAATCAGTCCACAAGCCGGACTGTTATAGCCAAAAATCGTCTTTATCCGAATTTTGCGAAAAATAGCAAAATCTCGGAAATCACTCTAAATTGAAATTCGAAATAAATTAAGCAATCTGAAAAAAATGAGGCCCAAATCGGATTTAAAATGACTTCCTAATTGACAAACGAAATATTACCATAAATAGTAAAAAATAAATAAAACTAGTGATTCGGAGGGAAAAATAGCAGAATTTGAGGTCGAAAAAAGGCCACATTGAGCCATGTGGACAGCGTGCACGTCGAAAGGGGCTTTCCGAATTGGGGTCTTATGCGCGATTCCGACACTCGTAGACAAAGTTATGGACAAAAGACTGAAATACACTCAAAACGGCCCCAATGAAGAACATATCACAATCAACTCCTGCTTTTGCGCTGATCTGTCAACTCATGGTATCTCAGCGCTATCAAGGTGTAATCTGACAGTTCAACATCATCTGTCTCGGATCCCCTGCATCACTTTGTTACCTATTGATGAGTAGGTTGGTTGCTCTAGTATTGTATTTATAACTTATCAGATCACTTTCACACATGGAACAAGGAAGAAAAAGTATGGTGCTTCAAACCAAATGTGATTATTTGTTATCCTTAACCGATTCTCGTAGAGTTCAGAGTTAAATTGATTTTTTATCTACAAGTGTCTATCTTCATGTCTAGAAGAATACAGCTCCGACAAGAGTAAAACGCCAAGAACATTTTGATGGTTACAAGGAATGCAAGAAAAGGAGGTATTCCTTCTCTCTCGTTTTTATCCTCATTTGGTTTGACAATAGCTTTTATCTTTGCATGCTTGAGCAAGCTGCAAATGGCTACAATGCATTGAACATTACAAAAAAAAAAATTATTGCATTTGGCAGAGGGAGGCTCGTTTGGAACGTAACAAGAGCCGGTCTTCGCTTTCCTGAAACCCCTCTTGATATTTTCTTCCATGTTCATGAAGGTGAAGTTATGAGTTAATAGGGTTAACTGATACTAGACTCAAAATCTGTATAATGGGCGACTATGTTATGGAGCATTGAAATATTTTTGGGATGTTTTCTGTTTGTGTGGAATAATAGCGACTGTGTTCGACTTAGCTATGGCATACATCTCGAGTTTCCGTTGAAGTAGAGTGTGCAGAGTATTCTGAATCGTTTCTTTAGTTCCTTCCATTGCTTCCAACTGAAGAACCATTCTTATTCAGATGGATAGCAGTTGATTTCTGATATGCATCTGTAACAGCATTGGCCAAGTTTTCTATTCAGTATCTTACAAACCGTCTTTCTGATGTCTCTTTGATCTGCTTTCATTTCCCCTGAAATCAGTGTCTTCTAACATGTTGGAATCGTGATGCCTTTGAAATCAACGACGCTTATCACAAATGCCACACGAGGGTACAGGGCGTAACGTCTCTTGAATGACCATTGTGAGCTGCGAAGGGCGTAACCGTCTTCACGTTTCTAAGCACATTAACATCTGGAAGGCCGTCTGTACAAGTTTAAAGCAGCTCAGCACGAACACGAACCTGCCAATCTCCGCATCTGAGGTCCTTGAAGCTGTAGTAGCAGTGGTTTCATAACCAGGAAAACCGCTATGAACCTCTCCTTAGGTAGCCCCTAGAAATCATCATTTTTTTTGTTGGCAAGTGCACTCAGACAGCTTTAACAATTATTTTGCTCATACTCGAAGCATTTTGGTGGATGTATAAAAGATAGTTTTGGCCATGTTTTAGTAATATGTTTTCTATTCATCGACAGCCTCCTGCTTGCCCTAAACCTTTGATATAGGCTGAAGCAAATTAAACAAAAAGGGCCATAAAGATGATATTTCAGCTGCAATACTCGACAACAATCTCAGAAGAAATTTGCTAATGTTAGAAAGTATTTGGCCCAACAAGATAGTTTGTGTTCTGAACAGAAATCATAGGAAACTATAGAATGACAAGACATGATTTAGAATTCAAAAAGGCGCAATTCGATCATCCCTTCCTTCCTCTTTGGAGAATACCAAGCAACAACTTTTCCAGAACGGAGAAGCCTCAATGAGTAGCACAGACTGTATATGACATCTTCGATATGAGGGCCTTGTTTCCCGGCTTTAGAATCAAGAAACAACTTTGAATCCACTCGAAACACTATTGGCCCTGCAACCTGCATCTCAAATTGTAAATATTTCTCACCTATGCCATGTGAGATTTATATGCAGTAACTACCAAAATTCAATAATGATTTCAACAGTTTCACAATAAACTTGCATCCATCCATCTGATGTGTCCCCATCAGTGTTTAAAAAGACACAACAGAGGCGCAACTACACGCTAAGGTGAGGTGAGGGTAAAGCGCCTATTTAGGTCTAGGCAAGGCGATTTCAATGAGCGCAGCAAGGCGAGCCTAAGGCGCTGAGGCACCGAGGCGCAGACTTTTCAATTTTTTTCTTTTTTATTATGTTTCATATAATAACTTATATATTAACAACAAAAAAGAGGTAAAAATGAAATGTCAGTGAAGAAAAGAGTAAAACATGGTGGGGATGATTAGAAAATGAGAGTTCCATGGGAGACGTATGAAAATTTGGCGAGAAATCCAGATAAGGGGGTGTGCTTTATCTTATATAATTACCGTTTGTCTTGAAGTTTGAAAGAGAAACAAAGGTGGAGGGACAAGAAGGAGAAAAGTAAGAACTTGATGCCAACTCATTATTAGATTTTTTTTTATTGTTTCAGTTTCTTTATGTGGAATAGAGGACCAAGGAAGGAAGGGTTCTTTTTTTCTTGGGTTCTGAAGGTTCAATGGTTGATGGAACAAAAGTGATGTTGAAAACATAAATGCTGATAATGAATACTCTTTTGTATTTATATTGTATGAACTGTTCTTTTAGTTTGATTATACAACTGGAAAAGGCTTGTATATCTTTTTAAAAAAAAAGTGTGCCTCACTTCGATAAGGAGCGCGCCTTGCGCCCTTTTTAACACTGGTCCCCATTAGAAAAATAAAACACGATAAAATAAAGAAACAATCAGGCAGAGGGTTGGACAAAATTACCTGCTGTTGAAAGATCAAATTCAGTCTGGGAGATGATAATGATTTGTCTGCATTAGAAGAACCCTTGAAAATTCTTTTGGAAAATGATGAGAGTGAAGATATGTCCAAACGAGCATCAACTCGAGTTAGATCACCATATAGCTTACGAAACTGTCCATGCTGAAAAGTATAGCAAGCTGAACCAAATAAATCCGCATTCAAAGGGCTTCTCTTGTTATTGCTTGTAGGTATTGTATCCCCCCTCTGTGATTCAACATTTGCGGAGTCTTTACCAAACCAGGCTGCACACGTGCCTCCTAGAAGCAAGAAAAGCATAGTTTGGATAGGAAACCTTCTCCAAAACAAAGCAAAAGGAGCAAACAAATGAAACTTTTAAGTATCACGAGTGTGAATAACTTGTTTCTCAATACTGTTAACCCTTCCCACAACCAACAAGATTAATATTAACAATTTCCTTCATGGATCTGGTCTGACAGAATAATCTAAAATATAATATGAAATAATGGCAGACGGTACCATAAAATGGTAATATTGGTACTACTAGTCTTACCAAATCGGGTGCAAAAATTTACAAGGTCACCACAGGGGAAGTTTGGGAAAACCGGAAAAGTTAAGCAAGACAAGTAAAAAATCATACCCTGCAAAACAGAAAATACCTATAATTCCAGATATAGCAGCATGAGGTTCTTTAAGATGCACATCATATGACGGTCGCCAAAATGAACCTTTGTCTGTCTTCACGATGAGATCCTCTTTTGTCTCGTTTCGCCTCCAAATATCCTTGCTCTTCTGATAAGAGAATGCAACCTTTGCACATAATCCTGGCATTAAGGCAGAAGGTGCCTCACCATCAGGTTCATTGAAAGCCAGGGGATGGCCACTGTTTTTGTGCAGACCAAAGCGATATTGCAACCCTGAGTCAGAAGGAAGAGAAGACATGTCTAAGGATATTGATTCTGGAACCTCCCAATATTTTCCTTTATGGTCCATGAAAAGCTCAGGCCATGCAGCATCCAGTGTGATATCATGATCAGGAACCTGTAAATACACACAAGTGATGACATAAACATAATTAAAAGAAGAAAAAACAAAAACTCACTCACCATCATGAAACAACTGGCATTATGAGACAAACTAGTTATAAGTACCACCGCTCTCTTTGAAATTACTTATATAACAAGCATCAAACTTTTTGCTTCTGAAACAGAAGTAGGCTTGAGAATTCAATTTGCTAAACTTCTTATTTGGGGTTTTGAATTTGAACACAAGCAAAGCAACTAGAAGTTTGGATTCAGAATTTTGTATCTGAGCACTAATACTCGTTAAATAGTTGTAGTTGCCCATGCTATTAGCTATATAACACTTAAATTCACCTAATTAAAGTCTAAAACAAATCTAATAAAGAAAAATAGAAATAATACTTCATGATGCATGAGACAAGACACTGAAATATAAAAGCGTCCACTGCAACACAAACACCTTTATCCTTTGTCATATAACCGATATTCCTCTACACTTGTAGTCTGCAATTTTGCAGTACCTTGAAACTTAGCAGAGTTAGCTTTTAGTACCCATCATCTCTGATTTAAACAAGTATAAATGCGTGCAATATATATTAAGGTGAATGGACTTGAACTTCTTGCCTGGTGATAGATCTTAAACTTGTTGCGATAGCCTTTCTTCCCCTCCAACCACTCTGTGTTCCACAATAAGGATGTAGAAGGAGACAATGAAAGCTGTGTGGCTAATGCAATTGAATACAGAGACTTGTCGAGAAAATGCTTGGCTGCATCCCGGAAAACAGAGAGTTCCAACTCATCAGCACTCTGGAGTTCCGTTTTAATAGCAGAGATCAGTTTCTTTGGCTTAAACTGACCAATTAATCCAATCCACCTACAGGAGAAAAAAATCAAAGCATTTAAGAACTGAAGTGACCAGTTTGTAGTGAAAGAATTATTAACACCACTTCGACACAGATAATGACGGGCCACTGCTGCTGCTGCTGCTTTTCAATTCATGGAATTGCGATGGATACGCAGCAACAGCAAAGGAAAGACCCCGAACCCAGCCAAGTTCAAAGGAGTTTGGCAGCTTAAAATCAATAGCACGCTACTGACATTGCCGATTTACATATCGACGGATCAATCCCACATTAATCTTCAAGGGCTTAGAGAACTGTACACTAATTGCTCTCTCCCATTGTTGCGTGATTGTTTCATTCTGTAAACTTCAGCACATAGAGGTGACTAACACCACTAGGCAAATCCAAAACCAAGAACAATAGGAGCAAATGGGAAAAATATGCTCAAATTTGAATACGAATCAAATTCATCGATTTTTGCAACATCACATAAAATTTTCCTATTTCTAAGATAAATAAAGCGAAGAATACCAGTTAGAAGTAGAAGGCCTGAGCAGGAGAGACTGAAGAGAGAGAAAACCCAAGTCTTTGTGTGAAGGAGGACAGATAGAGGGAATGATACCCAAAGGGAAACCATTTCCGAGAAGCGAAAGCTGCTGAATTCGGAGGGCCTTGCTGGCTCGAGCTCCGTCCAACGGGAATGGCTCACCTGGAACAGACTTGGTGGAGCCTTCCAAGGTATGTGGGGTGGATATACTGTGATCCCAAAATGCACAATCTATAGCCGACTTCAGGTTCGCCATTTTTGGCTACGGTTTGCGCTTCACCTTGAGGGGGGTTTTCCTTATCTGAATTGTTTTTGTTTGGAGTTTTTAAGGAGGGTTATAGGTGAGAAAGGGTTCTGAGCAGGAGGCTTATTTTATGCTTCAAACTTAATTTGAAATATTTTTGAGTCCAATTGAAATAGGTTAATGATATTTTAAGTTTTTCTTTGAATTTAATTATAGATATTTATAATATTATGATGTTATTTGATTTCAGTTTAAATAATTTTTATAATATATATATATATATATATTCATATCCTTTTTCATATGACGGGATGAATCTAACTCGACTCGAAATAATAAAAATATTATTTTACACCCTCCATCCGATCGGATTCGACTAAAAAAATACACCCTCCACTCTACCTAAATTTTTGAGATAAAATATGAACTCGATCCGACCTAAAATAATAAAAAAAATATTATTTTTATTTAATAGAAATAGGGATTTAATTAAAAAATAATATTTAGTGGGATATTATTGTAATTATCCTAAATATATAAGGTAAAATTATATTTTTTCGGGGTCTAGTTGAGTCAGATATTTTTCACCCTAAACTTGAATCTGACCCGACCTGAGCACCACCCAATTTTTTAAAAAAATTGACCCGATCAGGTCAATTCATGTTGGAACTCGTCGGGTTCGGGTCTCATGCCCATCCTTATTCATATGTGATATACATATATTATGCAAAGTTGTGGACTTGACTTAAACTTGAAAATCAATTAACTAATTATTAACATTTCAAGTTATCAGAGTTATTCGAATTGAATTTTATAGCTCGATTTGGACTTAAAAAATTTTCGAGTCAAGTTTATGAAATTACAACTTGAATTTAATTAGAATGGAATCGAGTAAAAAATCAAGTTTCAAGTCGAATTGAAGAAATTAAGTTTTAAAATCAAATTTTGGTCATCCTTTTTTGTTCAGGCTTAATATAAAAATAAGTGTCTAAATTATACCTCAAAATATAATATGGTGCCTAAAGAACTTATCGCTAAAAATAAATTTCTAACGTTTTTTCTGTTATATTTTTATATATCTACCATTATATTTTTAATTTTTAATTTTTTTAATAATAAAATTTTTTTTTTTAAAAAAAAATTCCCCTCTCTATTCCCCTGTGTTCTCCTCTCCTGCAAATGACCAAAGGCCGACAGTCGCAATCGATTGCCACGGTCGACTACCACGATAAATGACCAAGCTTCACATCCGATCAAACAATCAATTATCACGATCAATCTAAGGGATTTTTAGGGAATTGAAACCCTAAAACACAATCTTCCATTTATACCATATTTAGGTGTTCGATCAGTTGCGAAAGTATGGGGGGTTTTGGGCGTGAGTGGTTAGATGATCACATGTCGTTGGGTGTTCAGCCGATTGACGATGTTGGTGGCAGCCGACGGTGACAAAAGGATTAAATTAAGGTTTTAAAAGTTTTGAGTATTTTAAGATTTAAAAAAAATATTTTTTAAATTTATTTTTTATTTTAAATAAAAATTCTTAAAATTATCAAAACGTGGAACATATCATTAACGAAGTTTTTTAACTGTAGTTAACGCCCGGACACCTAAAAATGTAACGTTGAAAATATTAGACACATATTTTTAACGAAAAATTCATTAATCACTAAATCGTGTTTCGAGGGATAGTTTATTCACTTATTTTTAATACATTTTGTTTACGTTGAAAATGCTTTCAAATTCCAGTGGCCCAGCAAATAATTAATTAAAGAGTAAATTATATATTTAATACCTAAATTATCAATTTTAATTCATTTTAAAATCTGAAATTTTAATTTTTTTTTAAAATCATACCTAAAATTTTATTTTTCTTCATTTTAATACCCAAAACTGATAGTTTAGGTATTAAACACATTAAATTTTTAATAAAGACGTATTTGTCGGAACCGTCTTTCAGGTGGGCCTGGAATTGAGCTTCGACTTGAATAAAAACGTTAGAGTCGCCACCGATCATTTAAAAAAATATTTAGGTTAATCGAACACTAACTGATATGTGTTTTACCAGAAATATGTCGAATTCGGGAGTTGGTTACAGTCAAAGAAAGATTAGCACCCTTGAACTGCCCTTTCGGTACCATTTTAATTTAGAGAAAAAAGCGTCAGTGACCGAAAATGTCTTATAATATACGATTTTAATCAATTTTTTTTGATTTGCCAAAATGACCAACAAAATCGCAACGCGATATCAAAACCGCAACGCGATTTAGAAAAGCGCAACGTTGAAAAGAAAATCGCAACGCGATCTTCCAAGAATCGCAACGCGATTCAGAAAATCGCAACGCGATCTTCCAAGAATCGTAACGCGATTAAGAAAATCGCAACGCGATCTTCCAAGAATCGCAACGCGATCTTACATAAATGAAAAGCAACGAAAAAGAAAATGCAGAGAACAGAAATATGCTCTTACATTAACAGCTTCCTCCTTTACTGGGATTTCAGTACTGGCTAGGTTCTCTCCTTCCATAATTCTGGCTTTATCACCTGTTCACCTGATGGGAGAAGCAGGATTGATTTGCTTTGGCGTGCCTTGCTACTTTGTTTAGCACTCCAGTACTTTTAGCCACTAAAGCACTACATTCCATTCCACAGCGTGATGGGCTTCCACAATCCGAGCACTCAGCACATCCAGGTTGGTCGTGGTTAAAAACCATTCCACCGCAAAGCTGAAACCAAAGCACAGTCTCATTCACATCCATCTTACGTTTTCCATCTCCATCCTCAACGTCTCCGTCATGATCCGCGAGGTCCTGATCGCGAACCGGTGTCCCTGCTTGTTCTCGTAAGCGAATTTCGAAGTGTCGTTGGAGAATCGAACCGGCAGTAGGGCATCTTCAGAAATCCACTTCGCAGCCTCACTTTCACCTTCTGCGCGGATAATGGCTGCCCTCCTCTCCTGGTCAGCTTTAGCCACGATGTACCTTGATCTCTCTGCCTCTTGTTGTTCCACCTGCTTCTGCTCCACAGCCCTTGAGAATTCTGCACCGTATGACAAATGTGTGATAGCAACATCAGCTAGCTCAAAGTTGAAGTCCCTTGCACGATGAGTTAATGAATTACGAACCAAGGCCGACACCTGGGGACGCTCGGTGAGCAGCTGATCTGCATTGAACTGTGCAACCACGGCCTTCAAGACCTCCCTTCCAACAGCTCTTTCACCACCGTCAACGGTGTACATGGAAGCGTTGAGGATACTGGCGGCGGCACCGAGACCGAAAGCGGCGCGTGCGAAGTTGGTTAAAAGAGAGACAGCGGCTTGGTTGCTTCCCATTTGTCTCTATCTCTTGCTTACTTTCCAGCTGGGTTTTTATGCCTCTCCCGGCCTTTACTCACCGTGGTTACCCCCTTTTAAAGCAGCGTGTGTGTTGAATATATAGGGGAAGGGAAGCGGTATGTAATGACCAGAGATTATGGCCGGATTTTTAGGGGTGTAGTGGAGTAGGTGAGATACGTGGGAGTTAAACATGGGGCCAATTAGATCATGCCTTAGCTGATGTTGAGCTGACTCAGCAGTCCTTTCCTTCAACACAAGTTGATCACCGGGGATGTTGCAATTTGCATGGAAGGCTGCAAAATAATAATAATAATAATAATAATAATAATAATAATAATAATAATAATAATATAATATATTTTTCCCCGAATAAAAATGGGTATCTACAGTATTAAAATAAAATAAAAATTAAATTTTAGGTAAAACTTTGAAAGAGATTAAAAATAATTAAAACTGATAATTTAAATATTAAATACATAATTTACTCTTAATTAAAAGACTTACTAATAATATATTAATATTTAATAATATATTATCATCATTCCAATAATTAAATAACATATAATATAATATGTCCTCCGCTTTTTATGTGACGCATGTACTAATGTCTTACTTTTCCCACCTTAAGATCATGTTAGTCGAAAACGGACCTAAGTACATTTAAATATATAAAAGTTTAAAGCGAACCAAACAATTTCAATATCTAAAAATATTATGGTTATTTTAAAAGTTTTAAATTTAAATGCTAATGATTATAGGGTATTTGAACGTTAATTATTAAATAATTAAATCTGTAAAATAAATGCTACCATTTATAACTACCTTAAATTAATAAAAGATATGTAAAAATTTTAACACGAATCAAACGACTTCATATTAATAAAAAATATAGAAGTTTAATGCTAAAAAAAATAGAGTTCTAAAGTAAATGCTCTATAACAACATATTTTCTGATCATGGGTAGGGATGGACATGGGTCGATTCAAGTCAGGTGGATCGACCTGAATCACACCCAAAAAATATACACTTTCTACCGACTCGAATCCGACCTACTTTTTGAGATAAAATTTAAATTCGATTCGATTTGACCTGAAATAATATATTATTTTTATTCAATAAAAATAAAAATTTAATTGAAAAAAATAATATATAGAAGGCTTACTATCCCTAAATATATATAAAATAAAATTATAATTTTTTTAAATTGGGTCAAATATTTTTCACCCTAAATCTGAACCTAACTCAACTTGAATATAACCTTAAAAAACACGATCTGACCTAAATCTATTTTTTTTTAAATCTAACCTAATCGGATCAAATCGGAACCCATGAAGGCTTTTTGGCCTAAAACGAATGCTCTTTAATAGCATATACAACATATATAGAAGGTTTTCGTCGGTTTTAGTTGTTTATTTTTTTAGTGTTTTTTTCTTAGTTATCATGCTTATTGAAATTTTCTTCTTGTTTAAGAGAGTGATTATCACACAAGGTTATTTCCCCCCTTTAATTATAAAATAAAATTTATAAATTTAATATAACCAAAAATTAAATAATAATAAACCTTTGTTTTAATATAACCAAAAGTTAAATAATAATAAAATATACTTGTAAAATGGAACCAAACATTTAAAAGTAATAGTAATCATTTTTAAAAAAAATTATAATAACGGTTTTACCTTTGTTTTAGAGAGTACTGAAATATACACTCCACAAGTTCTTTTGGACAAAACTATGAACATGAACTCCAAAAATGCAGCTTTTTAACATTTAAATACATTAATTACCTCATTGAAGGGATGGGGACAGAAAGCTTTCTTATTCACAATTGAGGAACTGAGGATTTTGATTTCAGGGTGTAGAATTTACCGGAATCTCTTGTGGCATAGGTGAGCTTGATTGATCTTGATGCAACGGGATAACAAGCTGCTGCAAGGGTTTTAAAGCTACGGTAAGCTCCGCAAACGATGGCCGCAAACTCGGATCGCTGGAAATCAATAGGGAAAGTAGATTATAGATTGGATCCGGTATAGCAAAACGAGGAGTTATAAAGTTCGAGGTTCTGTGTACTGACGTCTGCCAGCATTGCCAAATTATTCTCGCAACCAAAGGATCGAGTTCCTTGGGAATGTCGAGGCGTCGCTTCTGGAAACCAACTGCACCCACGACTTGCATCGGATTCATTCCGCTCCAAGGTAATCTAAAAGTAGCAAGCTCCCAGAGAATGATTCCAAAGCTATAAACATCACATCTATAAATCCAACAAAAGATGTATCTTAGTTCTGAGAATTATCTATTTTACTGATTCGGCATATTCAAATCCGAGATGACGATAGTAGCAGAGCCACCAACTCTAATCACCAATAACAGTGAGCCACAATTAATTTAACACATTTTATGCAGACAAAATGTTACAAAGATGCATAATTAAGGATTTTTCTCATCTTCGTATTCTCAGAAACCCAACAAAATGCTAGTGGATTAAGTGGTCAGATTAACTACGGAGAAAAAGGCGAGAAGGAAATATAATGAAATATTGAATAAAAAGAAACTGCTCACTTCTCATTCGAGGGCTCATTGCGAAGTACTTCTGGTGCCATCCACTCGGGCTGAAACAAGAAAGGCAACTCAATCAGAGACGGAAAGAAAAGTAATATAATTGAAACCACGTATTCTATCTATATCTTCAGAATTTATAATATATTGCTCAGCAAGCTAAGATACTGACTGTTCCGGCGGTTGATTTAGACGATAGGAAAGTATTATGTTTCAAGCGTGACAACCCAAAATCACAGACCTGCACAGTTCAGTTTTGTAAATAATCAGAGCTTGTCAAAATAGATGATAGGAAGGTATTATGCTTCAAGGTGTATCGTAATCACAGACCTGCTGTATCCAATCCGTTTTGCAATGGTTACAGGTAGGTAGAGACTACTTGGAGAATTTAACTTAAAAACGGTAAGAAATATTTAGAAGCACGAAAACTAAAACATAGAAACATCAATTACCTTCACATTCCAGTTTTTATCAACTAAGAGGTTAGGAGACTTCAAATCACGGTGAACAATGGTAGGTATGCTAGTGTGTAGGCAATTCATGCCCCTTGCCTGCCAAAAGGAAACATATATGAATATGCTGGTCACATGCTAAGAAAAAAAATGCAACTGTTATTAGTTCCATACCACATCAAGAGCCATCTTAATTCTACGCTTCTCATCGATTTGAGGATGAGGACGATGAATAATCTTATATAAGCTTCCTCTGTAAAACCAAATAACATTAGCAAAATTTAGATTGCCAATCTCATTCCATCTGTACATTACCGTGCACAAAGTTCAAATCGTTAAAAGGTAAGCAAAGGATATGTACAAACAGACTCTTACCTAGGAAGAAACTCGGTAATGATAGACAGGTAGGAGGGCGAGTAACAGCACCCATAAAAAGAACAACATTTGGATGATGCAGTCTACGCATTATTCGCACCTAGAAAAAGAGAGAAATATAATCCAGGATCAGGGATATGGACTTGTTTCACTGGCATAACTTTAGGCACGGATATTTGCCAGTTATAAATGAATAAAATAATATATCTAAAAACACATTCTACTATGATTTTGAGACAGCAATATAAACACTTTGAAGTTACTTACTTCTCTTTTGAACTCAGCCAAAGCAGCACCAGAAAAATCTTGGTCTAGGAACTTCTTGACAGCAACCTCCTGGAGTCCAATGACCATTATCACCCACAAAATTAGAAACTACTAGTTCTTTCAATTTTGCAAACAACTCTCAAGTCTTAAATATAACGGTGGAAAACACACTTAGAAAAGTATAAATTCAAGACCGGGCTAAAGGTTTTGACTATTTATGCCTTTGGCAAAAAATTGTCTAGATAACTCAACTAACACTAAACAAGGGCAGCACAAAGTTAAATACAAGGTGAAAACCGTGATTGACTGAGTATTAATAAACTTACCGTGCCATTCCAGTCAGCATGATAGACCTCTCCATATGAACCTACTCTCAAGAAAACAAAATTTAATAGGAATTAGATAACTTCCAAAAAGAAAATGTAAAATTTCAAGCAAAGCCAGCGTCAGAATTAGTTATTCTATTTAGATTCTTATGTTTTCAAGAAGAATGAGAAGAGCTCTTGAATAGCAAGAGGGGGAACAAATTACAACAACAAACACAACTATATAAGTATGACTAACTGAGTCGACATTTATTTCATAAAAAAATTATCTATGCATAACAAAAATTGTCACATATAATTAACTTCAATGAGTCGAATCCATTACCTAGTCCAATTCTTTCACCAATATCCAAATCTTCCCAAGGAATTTCACATTCACCAACATCTACATCATCAAATAGTTGATGATCCAACTGATTAGGGGTCCCTCTGTTAGATAATCCAGAAGAACCAACACCAGAATCAAAGGATGAGTTAGGACTTTCAGGATCCTTCAATTTGAGATTATTTCCCATGTATCTATCATGGGCATGCTTTTTATAACTGTCGAAACCAATCTCATTATCTTGCTCATTAATCAAATCCCCTGTGTTATTTTGTAAATCATGTTCATTTGTGACCTGCTCCTTAAATTTAGAGCTTGCGTCCTCATCCAGTTGTGAGCTATTGAACTGACTGGTAGTGGATGCCAAAGATGCGCTAGTTTCAGACAAAGGATTGCGGACTGTATCATTTCTATTCGACGTATCCAAGCCAGCAGGTGGCTTAAAACCATGAGTGTAGACCTTTTCAGGCTTGATGGAGCTGGAGGGACCTGCTGGTGACTGATTAAAATCATTAGATTCGCAATTGACTTTTGGGAAGTGGCCCTCCATATAATTGTACTTTTTCTGGGGAACCTCATTATAAACAAGCCGATTCTTCCACATCAATGGTACCGGGGGTCGCCCTACTACATTATTTGGTTGTTTCTGAAACTCGTCAATTTTGGCCTCTGTAGATTTATTCTGCTGGGAAGTTTTGC